TGTGCTGAGCATCAGAGGATATGCGACTGAACATTGTCTCATTTCACCTTTATCTATTGTTCATGTCATTCATAAACTAAATTATAGTTGAGATTCACCCTTAACTCCCTTAGCTGTGCTACAGTACTTTGCTACATTGCAGGCTCAATGGCGGATAAATGTTTGAAACATGAAGCAAACTCCTTTCTGTAAAATGAATTTGTATTTCGTCCGTTTTGCTCAGTTACGGTGTCTGGAGTGTGATACGCTGGGTGCTCTTCACTCTCCTGGTGATTTGTTCTGTTTCTGTCACAGTGTATGTGAGAAAACATCAGGTGGGTATCATGGCCTTTACAAGAATAATTCTGAGCGCTCTAAGCTCTCCATCACTGAGATGCCCCTGGATGGAGCTGTTCCTGAAGCAGGACACACAGTTTGAGAAGAATGGGTTGACCCTTTGGGACTGAGATGAGAAGGAATTTCTTTACTCAGAGAGTGATGATTTGTTGGAATTCTCTGCCTCAGGGAGCTTTGGAGGCTCCAGCTTTGAATATACTTAAAACAGAGATCAATAAATTTCTGGCTAATAAAGGTATTGAGGGATCTGAGAATAGACGGAAACAAATAGGATCTATGTAGAATATCTGCCATGATCCAGGTGAATGTCAAAAGGAGCCTTGAGGGGCTTAATGGCCTGCTCTGATGCTGCTTCAGAAGTCTCCATATCCATATTTCAAAGGTGCTGTACAATGGTATTCTAAAGAGTATCCTAAATCCTTTCGTGTCTTCAGCTTGAATCAAGGCTGAGCATTAAGGTATGGAGGGACTATTTTGTGAGAAGAGGTTGAGTAGGATTGGTCCTGTACTCATTGGAATCGAGAAGAATGAAATGTCAGTTCCTTGAAACTTCCAAGGCATGATGGGGTAAATGCAGAACACATGTTTCCCCTTGTGGGTGAGACTTGGACCAGAGGGCATCGTCTCAGATGCTACATACATTTAAGTTTGAGATGAGGAGAATGTTTTTTATGTCTCTGAGATGGTTGTGAACCTGTAGAATTAGTTGCCAAAGAGGATTGATGAGGCTTTGCCATTAATTGCACTAAAGGCTGAGATAGACAGGTTTTTAATCAGTCAGTGAATCAAGAGTTATGGGAAAAGGTAGGAAAGTGGGGTTGAGGATTATGAGATCAGCCATGATCCAGTTGAATGGCAGAGCAGACACGATTGGCTGAATGGCGCAGTTTTGCTCCAATGTCTTATGTCTTCACCTATTTCCGCTGTCACCTGCTCACCAGCACAACTGCAGGGAAACATTAACTCTCTGTGATACAATGATCTTTGACGTGTACAGGCGGAATTGATCGATATTAGTTTGCCAGAATATGTGCAATAAGCGATGGGGAAGGAGGAGTTCATCACAAATTTTCATCATTTAAATGCCATGTTCACAATTCGAATCAAAACTAACATGAAAAATAAGGCATCATACACTGTCTCAGTGTTTCCGATGTTTCTTTCCATTTCCTCATTGAATCTGATGCTCTCAGCTCGACCAATTGGGAAAGTGCAGATGCCTTGCTCCTGTGTCATTGGCTGGAAATTTGCATCTTGTTTGAATATTCATCATCTATCTCACATTGGGCATTTTTTTGTCAATTCTGTATGAGTAAAGAGATCTTGTTACAAGATGATTTTGGATTAAAGTAGTGGAAAAAGAACATAAACCTGAAATGATCACTGTAACCACCAAGTTAAATAATTACATCTGCTTAATATTTGTTTGTGGAATGTAACATTGCACAATGAACTTCGTATTTTATTTTGTCATGATGTGTGTCAACAGAAGCCTCTTTCTCTAACAAATAAGCAACTTGGATCATTCATTCACTAGAAACAGAGACTCCCATGATATGTTTCACTTTTATACGGGAAAGATCAATGTGTATTTTAAGGAGAATGGGACAATGTCACAGAGAAAGAGGAACGTGGGTGGAATTTTTCCCTCCCTGGAATGATCAGGGAAATTATAAGAAGTTCGGCAAATATGCCAAACATGAAAGAATCACAATTTCTCATCAAGAAAAGATTTTCCAATTTTCTCCTTAAGTGTGTAAATGGCTGCTTCAGAATCTCACAATTGAGTTGTGACCATCTTATTTCCATGCATTTGTGCCTCATTATTAGTCCAACTCTCACTACTTTTTCACCACTTCCAATTGTTCTCTTCTGCCCAGGAAATACACAGTGCAAATTCCAATGTGTTATTCATAGCAGCTTACTGGCAGATACTACTCACTGATTGCTTGTTCCAAACCTCACCAAGACTTCATCTGTCTTCACCACAACATCCCTGCACGCTCCCTGGAGATAACCCTCCTCCACTCTTTATCCGCTCAAGTCACCATGAGCAAACCATTAGCCTTCCCTGCAACATCAGACCTGCTCTCGCTCCAGCTCTCACAACACTTGAATTTGGAGCTCGGGGACACTTGTTTGCAGGCTGCCAGCCTCAGTGCTTTACGTTGCTTTTAAACATCGAGCCCTGTCACTGTAAGCTGCAGCCTGTCAGACTCTGTGAGCTGCATTGAATTGTACCACAGAGTTCAAAGCTGGCAGCATGTCACAGTGGGAGGCACTGAGCAGGAAAGGGAGTGGGCATCTCACTGTATGGCACCATACCATGTCAGTGTCACTCTGATATTAC